CTGCATACAGTGATAACGACTTGGGTACGATTGATGGGCTGCTTTATTCAGATGTGATAAGGATAGTATTAAGAAAAATGTCATAGCATACTACATTTCAGTTTTAGGCAACCTTCTGATAGTTTGGATGCATACGGTAAAGAGATATGTCTCCTTGATATCTGGTTTCACTTCGGCGTTTCGTATATTTTTAGAATTTGATTCAAGACTTCGCTGCCACTGTCTTGCAGGTTTCGGACGATCGTTATGACCAAAAGTAAGTTACGCGTTTTCTCGGTTTACTTGATCTAAACCAAAAATAGGGAATCTGTACTCTAAATGCCGTGTGACCTTTGTCAACTTAATTTCCATTGACTGTTGTCTTTAATTTGCTTCACTGCTGCACCAATTTGTTGCTGCACTACGAGTTATCTACTAGTTATGTATGCAAAGTAAATTGTCTATCTCATGAAATGTTAACTGAAATCCTGAAGTGGGTTTTCGATTTGAAATCACTTATAGTATAGTCGTAGTGTTTAGTATCATGCAGCCTAATCCCAGTATACTTTATTTTCTAAAAGATTTCGGCTTTTAAGGGAGTATTTTTCTGGTCACCTGCAAATCAACACCGTAAAATTTGCTATTGACGTAATATGCATTTTCAAAAGAAATTTTCATGCTCTTATAACTTTGCCTATTATTTATAGATAACATGTACAAATCATGTTTCCTTTCTTCCCATTTTGTAACAAATTGCGTCCTCCTTCAATGTTATGCTTGAAGAAAGTGTATCTTTTAGTTTTACAAAAGATTCTTTGATATTTTTTAGGACCGTCTATTTACCAATGCTGCTTATAAAGTATACAACAGCGTCCACATCTAACGCACAATTTTATAAGCATCGTGTGACGCCTTCCTAATAGCGTAAACAAATGAGCGTTATTTCCTAAGCGGAATGTATACAGCACGTAGTTTCGTAACCCTTAACCCGCGTATAACGACAGGTCGTGGTCAAAATTGTTCCGGAAGCAGGAAAATTTTAAAAAAACTAATGGAAACACATTCTTCAAATGTGATATTCAAAGAGGACGTAATTTGCTACAAGAAGGTATACTTTTGTTCATGTTTTCTGCCAAATATGTTTACACTTACGAGGGCATCGAAAATAATTAAACAAAATGCATACTACTTAAGTAGTTTTTTTTAAAGAGGCTTGTTTTTGCAGATGGGCGGAAAGAGGCTCGTTAAAAAACGGGCATCCTGACGTGAATAAGATATCTTAGGATTTCGCTGCACGATAATAAATATAACGACAATACTTGCGTATTTTTTTTCAAATTGTAAAGACATTCAGAATCATGACTGACTTTTCACGAAATAGACACTCTACTGTATGTAGCCATCCCACTCAGCTGATTGTCTCCTGGTTGTCTAGATCAGCTTTTTTGATCACTAGCAGATATTGCAAGGACTCATTTGCTGCAGAGTTGCTACTACGTGCGGGCACTGGGGATTCAGATGTGCAAGGGTTTAACTGGTGCGTCAAAATAACGAAAGTATAGGCATGTGTAGATAAAGAGGACAGTTATGTGCATAAGACAGCGCACTGAACATACAATACAACAAATGCAGTATATCAAATCCCCATAGATGAACCAGCTCTCTTGCTGCTGTTCGAAATATCAAAAGGAATTTGGCTAGTCAGGTATTCTGCAACCGGTTTTACATGATTTGTTTAAGGTATTAACTGAGACTTTCCCTCAATGTCATGCGTGCATTTGGTGCCTGTTTGGCGAACAGACTTCTGGAATAAAAGCAGCCTAGCGCCTAACTATATTTTGCTATTGAAGTTCTGTGGACTCTTCTGGTTCGAAAAGTATTTTTATTTGAGTTTTTTCGATTCCCAAACCGATTTTCTTCAAAGTTATCACTCAAACTATCCATAGTTCGACATCTTCAGTCGGGGATTACTTATTGAACCCGAGCTTCTCATAGTGCGTTATTGTAATAAGTAGCAATGATTTTCTTAATAAAAACCGCTGAAGGTAGTGGAATTCCATAGGATTAGAAAACTTCCAGAAGAGCGGTCGAGCCAGTGCCTACATTTCTAATTCTCTTTGGTCTCCATTGGGAAAATAAGTACGTAAATGCCCAATTCTTCTCGATGTTCTATGTTTTAATATCTCGGATTGCCCCTTTCCCAGGCCTTCTCCACAACTTTGTGAGCGTTGCTATTTTACGTTTCGAATTCGTTAGGCAATTGTTCTCATCAACTGACCCTTGTCTGATATACTTGCATGTTTCGATTACAGTAAGGAATTAGGGTCCATCATTTATTTTGTTAGTCCTTATGCATATGAATTTCGGGTAACCACGACACTTACTTCTACTTGGCACAGCTGTGATCATGCCCGATATAGCCGGTCTCGATGATTTCCCGAACTGTACCTTTTCACGCATGACAATCCTTAGCAGTAGATCTCGATAATTCAATCCATTCTCTTTGCTAACGGCGACGCTGAATACTGAATGTCCATTACCCACTTCCATGTCTTCGGAAACAGTGTCGGGACAGGTTTTGGGTTGACCTCCGTCCCTCACCTCTTCGACGCCTCTAATTGGGTAATGATGCAGGCTTAAGGACAGTAAGACTGAGCTCCCGAGGTGGAGGTCGAAGAACGTGCCTAGACCACCTCAGTCGTTATTCTTGGATGGCTGCAATATCTT